AAGGATGTAAATAGTCAATCACAGCAAACAACATAAAAGGCACTGTCGCTATCCCTTGCCTTTAAGTAAAACACAGCCTGGTATACTGATTAAAATTATGAACGGCTGATGCTTTTTAAAACCCCCCTAGAAACTAACGCAAAGACTCCAGAAACAGCAGCCTAAAATAAAATAAAAATCAAGTCTGGCACTGTGTGCATGAAGCTGGGTCTCTTCTTCAGCACAGAGATATCATCCATCAGTTTAATGTTAACATCATAAAATGCTAAAGAAGTTAAAGTTGCGTCATTAATTTTGTTCCCTCAGAACATAAAAGTAACAAAGCATAAATGTATTATTAAGTCAGCAATTGTATTGTGATGACAAGTGTTTGAACTTGAATGTGTTACACTACTTCATTACAGGACAAAGTAATCACATTACTGTATCTCATTACTCTCAACACTGTAAATGTTCTTATAGATCCAGCCCCAACAGTACCAGTGATGAACAATGTAAACAAAAATGACCAAAAGCAGTGTATTTTGTTGTTATGGCATATTCCTCATGGTTTTATTAGCATGATTTAGAACAATAGCTTCAATACTATGTAGTTATATGCTTCAGTGTTTAAGTTTTAATACAGAGCATATTTAGATGGATGGATGGATGGATGGATAGATGGAGGGACAGACAGACAAACAGAGACTTTATCTGTGCTGTGGAGTTCTACATTACAAATACATAAACAATGATCCACAGGTTCCCAGCACTGGTCCTTGTGAACACTTCTGTGTTTTCTCTGATCTAACACAATCACTTCAACTCAGGAATGGCTTGTTAGTGACATAGTGATGGATCAGGTGTGCTGGGAGCGGTAAAAGAGCAGGGGTACTCCAGGACCAGTGCATTAATCCATATTCCAAAGTATTTTCAGTGATCAGAGACAACATTTAGCTTAAGAATATACAGATTGATACTAAGATGACAGGTAAAGAAAAAAGTGTGACTCTGAAAACAAAAGGGTGATTTAATAGATATAGAATAAATTCTTTAAAGAAAACTTGAATGAAAACACGTAGTGCCATCAAATATGCAACCTTTTTTAATTCACCTCTCAAGAGTAGAGATCATAGGGTGCAGAGTGGGAGGATTTTTTTTTCCTCAAATTTTCTCCCAAATGTAGTCATCTCCAGTTTTACCCACTAGTTAGGACTCCCCCAATCACACAGTACTACCAACGCTAGGAGGGTGAAGGTTAGCACAGGCTTCCTGAATGCACGCAGAGGAAAGTGCCAACCGCCAGATCTGTTACATCAGCTAACAGACGCCTGCGCTGACTAGCATTGCCGTTGGGTGATGGGGGGAAAAGGCAGGCCAGCCTACCCACCCATTAGGGCCAATGCTTAGACGGTTGTGCCACTCCGGAGCTCCTCACGACTATTCATTTTAACTAGTCAATTGGTCACTTAAAAAGTTGAATAGTTTCTATTCATACACATTTATACATAAGTATTACTGTTCCAGACATCTGTGGAGCGTATTTTGTTCACAGCTTGCTGATAAAGGCAGGGCTGGCAGATGCTGCTGTTCGAGATGTGAAAAAAACGTTTTTGCTGTATTTAAGAATGTTTCAGCTTCAGAGACTCTGCCCACAGAAGTACAGAGATTGTCCGATGTGAACTGCACACTAAAATCACCATAACTCTCAGAAACTCACCTCTCACAGAGAATTAAAACTGGCTGTATCCCGTGCAGTTGCATCTATTCATCAATAAGCCTTTCAGAGTGAGATATAGGCCTAGTCGCTGAACCAGGGAACATTCCTGATGTTCCTTTTTTAAACATTATTCATGAATTTTCATGAACACATATTCATGAGTCTTTTAAATTGTAGGTAGCAAGTAAACAAGATATCCTCTTGCGTTTGCCGACCGGTACTCCAAGTTTGTTTTCATTAAACATATCGCACTGTGGTTGGTTGTTTTGCAGGTCAGTGTTTAAGCCCTTTCCTATTACATATCTCAAAACCTGCCCTGACTGGCTTACGAGCCTGTATATCAGCACAGTTTTACACAGCTTGCAGTGGAACTGGTTTTATTTCGTGTAGTATTTCCACATAAAGTATGGTGGGCTTTGTGTTTAGCAGAAAAGCTGAATTTTGTTCACTCCTCCAGCCTGTTCTTACCACCACTGTGTTTCAGGCACTGTCATTAACTAGTTGATTGTTGCCCACAGCGCGGAACAGTGGATTAATTATTTGACTAGTCTATGAAACCCCTTGCTGCCTTATTTCGAGGCAGGAATAGATGTCTAAACAAGCCAAAGACAAAATGTACCGTTGTTTCCTCTCTGCATAACGTCTTTGATACATGGAATGGTATGTATTAAGGCCATGGTTTCTCTGTTTTATTAATGTGGTTAGCCACTCAAAGCTGTTACAGGGATTTCACTCTTCTTTGCGTTGTGCAAAATCACAGTAACGCAGGGAGGCTTTAAGGCTTATTGCTCCACTGTCACA